GGTCATGCAACTTATGAAAAAAAAAGAGCTCATATGAACTCAGGGTTGCTCTGCGGGTATGTTTTATATAAAAAACACTATACAACAGTTTAAAAAAAATAGAAAACAGACCAACCCCTATATTATCTAATAAACTTGTCTGTGCTTTAAAAATAAAAACAATATTTAATGAAAATGATAAATGCGCTGTTAAAACTTGACAACACTGGTTTTATAATCCAGTAAAAATTATTTACTGTTTACATTGCCACTGTTTATTTACTGTTTAGCATTGTCCGCGTGAAAAATACCAACCTTTTGTACCAGTTTTAGTTTTAATAAAAAAAAATATTGAGAGTTTATTGTTTTCGGCAATACAAAATTCCTGACTAATAAATATTTTGCAGCCAAAATGTTTCAGAAAAAAATTTGAAAGAAAAAAGAAAATGAAAATTTTGATTTGGAATACCGCCCAATATTAGGAGATTGATAATGCAAAGATAATTTTTATTTGCAATTTTTATTTGGTGATAAACCCGTACCTAGCGTCAAATTAATAAAAAAATCAGATTTTTAAAAAATTGTACATAAAAACTATTTTTTTATTTATTTCAAAGGTATTTTTGTAGAGATGGGAAAATTCCCATTTGACGAAAATTCCCGGAAACTTTCCATCGAAAATTCCCAAAAAAAAATTTTATTGCGAAAATTTTTTTTTTATGCCAGGGATCTGCAAAAATATATAACACATTAATTTTTTGTCAAATTTTATTAAGAAAAAAAATTAAAAAAAATGTTTATAAGAATGTAACTGCAATACTATTTTTAGTATCTTTTACTTTGGAATATTCCTATTGTATACTGAAACCTACAAAATAAAAATAAAATGTTTACTATTAGAAATTCACTGCTAGTAAATCCTAGATATTACGTAAAAAAAATTAAAAGGGACAAAGTAACTAATATATAGGAATATTGAAAAGTAAAAAGTAAAGTAAAAAATAATTCCAAACACTAGATTTTTTTCTTGGCATTGTGCTATGCCTATAAATAAACAACAAAAATGTAAGAATGATTTTAAAGGCCAATTCTCACATAGCGATGCGACGCTACGCTACGCGACGCGACACTTTTAAATGTAGCTGATCAACGCGACTCGACAATATTTTGTCGCTTCCTGGAGCGACAAAACTGCGTTGGTTAGCTACATTTTAAAGTGTCGCGTCGCGTAGCGTAGTTTTTTGTGATGATGCTGAATAATCCAGCTTCATTGAGGTTATGTAACATGATTTATTATCTATAAACATAACTTACATTATTTATACTTCTTCTGCCTTAAATTAACACACATTAAATTCTTATTCAAAGTTTCTTGGCATTAACGAAAATCAGCGGTTAAACAATGGACATTTAAATGAATAAAACAAGGAAAGTTTCCAAGGAATGTTTCCGGTAGCTTAAAAGAAACTTTCAAAATGAAAATAAATTCCCAATTGGAAACTTTCCAAAACGGAAAGTTTCCTTAAAATGGAAACTTTCCGATTCCCATCTCTATATTTTTGTAGTGTATCTTTAAAACCTTTATCTTTGCAAAAAACTGCAATCTTTAAAACTATTTATTTATATTTATATGGTGATAAACCTTTTGCCCCCTACCGAGCATCAAAGTATTAAAAAAATCAGAGGGAGTTTGTTACCATATGGTTCATATGAAGTTGGCAGATAAACCATTGTAAAGAGCGACCCAAGTTTTACTCCAGTTTTGTTATAACACCATTTTTCAGACCCGTATTAACAACTGCGCCGTCACATCCTACCCCGACTAAATCTTCCAAATTGTAGTCATTTTAATCCAAAAAATTTACAATGCATTCACAAAGGCTTTTGGCACCAATTGGTGCACTGCGCGTGGTATTATGGAAGGAACAAAGCGGTACCTAGTACAACTGATTGTTTTTCTTAACAAAAAATACAAAAATACCATTGAAATATTTAAAAAAAAATAGTTTTTATGTACAATTTTTAAAAAATCTGATTTTTTTAATACTTTGATGCTCGGTAGGGGGCAAATAATATTGGGCGGTATTCCAAATCAAAATTTCAAAATTTTTATTTTTTTGAGCCCTGGTAGGGGGCAAAAGGCGTCACACAAACAAAAAACTGTAAATAGAAATTATTTTTGTTTTCGGCCAACCCTAATGGTCATCTTAATAATGTTACCCAATGGGTTTAGCAATGTTACGGTATCATATATTGATTACAATAGGCTTTATTATAATCAAAAATATATTTTAATAATTAAAATAATAATTATTGAATGTTTAAAATTTTAGCTTATGTGACAAATAGCGTTGCCGAGTGTTTTAAGCTTATACACCCGAACCTAACTAAACAAAAACCTTTTTTATATACTTATGTACGTTAGTGTGACATTTTTAGGACCCCTTAATATATACTGAGCACGTAAAAATCCCCCCTTTTATTTTTGAACCGTTGGATTTAGAAATTGGAAATATAGTATGCTAAACAACACATTAAATACTACTTTTAAAGTAAAAAAAATTGAAATATTTTTAAAATGGCGTCTTACTGACTAAAGGTCATATTTCTTTCAACAGGTTCATGTCACACATCATTAAGAAGGTCTTTGCAAGCTGCCAGATTTACATTTAAAACGTGTTATGTTTGTAATGACTTAACTTGGAACTTTCAAATTTTAGTATGGTACTCTTATCATTAAAGATTAATTTTGGGATGAAAATTTTGAAAATGACGCTGTACAATCTAAAAAATAATTAGTTACATGGCCAACTTTGTATTTTTAAAAACATGACCTTCATTTTAAAAAGTGTTAGATTAAGTTTAAAATACAATTTTCTAAAATAATAATAATTTTTAATGTTGAAAATTGTACTCATAAAATGTGGTTTTTTTGGATATAATTTCGGACATACCCTTTATATAATCTGAAAAATAAAGATTTGCTTATGATAAGCTTGCAAATACTTTTTGAATTCCCATTGAAAAAATGTGACCTTATAACTAGGGTTGGGACCAGTGCTGCCAGATTGGGCGCTTTAGCGCCAATTGGGCGGTTTTAAGAAATAATTTGCGCCTAGTTTTTTATAAAAAGCGCAAACCGCAATTTGGGCGATTTCTAAAAAAATAAATTTCTCTTTTGGGAATTCTTTGAATTAAACTTTACTTAAAATATATCTTCAGATTGCAGCTGCCTGTATTTAATACTTATAGATATTAACAGCGATCACCATAAATAATAATCATAGATGGTATTAAAGTAGTGTAAACACATATACTTACTGGGTAAGTATATCAAGTGTATATGTGTAAAAAAATGTAATTTTATAATTAGAGGTGAGTGCGGTCAAAATTTGAATTCAAGTAAAAGAAATTGAAATATGAGTTCTGATTGGACAGCTAACTTTTTTCCCCTTTCCGTTACTGGGATGTTGTGCAGCCGGCTTAACAGTAATAATATTAGTAATAAATATAGCCTACCACTGGTAGGCTACCAGCATTCACAATAATAATGAATAGGAACAGTTTCTATTTCTTATTATTTTGAATGCCAGTAGGCCATATTTAAATTTATTTATTTTAAAAAATAAAGGATATTTATTTTTTTATTTATTTTTAATAATATTAAACATTTATTTTTGTATATTTCATAAATAATAATAATATTGTTTACTATCAAGAAAAATGTCTTTATCTATAAAAATATTAAACTGGTGTGTTTAAGTATTTTTAATGCATTTTGCGAATTAACCGTTACAAGAATTTTATTTTAATTTTACCAATCTAACGTTGGCGCTGATTGCAATTTTGTTGGCGCTTTTGGGCGATATCTCACTCGAAAATTGGCGCCTCGAAAAAGAAATATCTGGCAACACTGGTTGGGACAGTTGAAATTTTCAAATGAAAATTTCAACTTTGAAAGTTTCAAACTTGAAATATTTCATTTAGTTGGAAAAGTGAAATTTTCAAAAATTTCAAATGAAATTTTCAATCCAAAAATTTCAACATTGCCTGTGAAAGTTTCAGAAATTTCATTGAAAGTTTCGCAATTTACTGAAAATTTCGCATAAATTTCACATGCGGCCTCCCCTGGGACCTTTAATAATAATTTACAACAGATTCCGAATCGACCAATAAGAACGAGTTATCAAGCGTCTGGGAGTTTTTTTATATTAGTTCGGCTGGGATTTGAATACACTATAAGTAATTATTGTTACTTATATGCATAAATTAATTTAAATAATTTAATTCAGTTATCAATTTAATTTGTAAATTAAATCAGACTTTAAAATTTTTTTAAAAGTCATGATTAATTTAAACTTTTACTTTTGCTATAATTTCATCGGAAAACGAATAAAAAATGCCTTTGGCTCATAAAATTTTGATGAAGTTTCTTCAATTTTCGTAAAATTTCAGTAAAATATTTAAAAATCATAAATTTATATAAATATAAAACAATGAAAGTGGCACAATCTCATTAGCTTACCAAAAAGTGCTATATCTCTTTTAGTTTTAGTAATTTTAAAAATATTTTAAAAGGAAATCTCAAGAAATTTGTGGTAAACATTTACTACTTATATTATTGGTGCAGGGGCCCACAGAGGGGTAGGAGGTAAGAGAGGCAGTTTGCCATGGTCCCCGAGTGGGCTTATTTTAATATTAATATATTACACTTAAAGTGATTGAAATTTATTGAAAGTTTCAATAAATTTCATAAATTTCATGAAATTTCAGACATTTAGGAAATTTTAATAAATTTCATAAATGTCGTGAAAATTTCAAGTGAAATTTCAAGTACAAGCAAAAAGTGAAATTTTCCCAACCCTACTTATAACGCCATTTTAAGAATTTTTTAATTTTTTTTAAATTTAACACTAAAATTTCCCATTATTAAATCCAACAGTTTAAAAAATAAAAAAAGGGGTTAACGCGCTCACTGTATATTTAATACCACTATAAAATATATGGACACCTTTTTTTAGGGGAAATTTGCTGAATGCAATTTGAATCATCAGTACCATAGAAACTGCCAACTTACTATTGCAGATTACGTGTGTTGCCCACACTGTGGTTCTACAAAATTAGGATATGATATATTTGTAACATTGCATTCTAAAAGAAAACCCATTTATCTCAAGAAACAGCAACTTTTTAACTAGTAAGTATGTAGGATAATACATTCAATATTTTGCAAATATTTTCTTGGTCTGCTGTATTTTATTAAAAATGGACTTGAACAGTTATTGCAGCAAGCCCCTGAATTTTTATAATGAAGTAAAACAATAAATTATACTTAATATTTATTTGTATGCTTGGGGCCCTATATTACAACATGTATAAATGCGTGAGCTCATACCCAACATTAGTGTAGAATATTCTTCAGTTGGAATGTATATACTTAGGTATAATAAATAAAGTAATAAAATAAATAACGTAACGTATCATAGTGTACACTGCGATTAAAATTTAGCGGATATTGAAAATTTAACCATTTTTCATACTTGAAAAATTGTAAGTACATAATAATAATATGTAATATTATTACTAAAAACTGTGTACTTAATATAGTGTATATAAAAAGATTTTTAAAAATAGATGCAAGCAAGAGCTTAAATTGTTGGTTATATCTTACTAAAAGCCAATGGCATTTCAATTTCTTGACTGCAATAAATTTTATTTTGTTTAAAAAGTGTTCGGAAAATGTCAAACCAACGATGTATGGGGGGTTTATTTTAAGTATAAAACAAAATTAAAACATTTCTGACAAATAGTTTCCAAGTTATACCAAAGGGTTTAAAAATTGAATTTAATCACGGTGCTGTTCTGAAAAGTCATTTTCAGACTTTCTGTGAAACTTTTTGACTGTGATATTCAATTTATTTATGATGTAACTAAGAATTTAAGAAGAAATTTTTAAATTGGATTTTTATTAAAAAATATTATACACTCTTTTAACTATCCACTTAAAACTTTTGAATTCATTTATATATTAGCAAAACTTTTAAATCAGGTTAAAGATTATTTAATTTTGTAAAAAATGGTTTTGCTATTTTTTTATATTTGAAATAAAGAAAACAATTAAAAATTAAATGAATTAATCGCATATTTTAAAAAACAATAAATTTGGTAAGACATTTTTTTTTATTAAATAATCTTTATTCTGATTAAAACGTTTTGCCAATATATAAATGAAACTAAGTTTTAAGTGAATAATTAAAAAAGTGCATATTTTTAATAAATATCAAATAAAAAAACCAACAGTGGGAATTTTTTTATTTTGCTCTTAAATTCTTAGTTACATTATAAATTTCTATTTCACAAAAAATCTGAAAATAACTACTCCAAACAGCACTGGGATGGGAATGAGAATGAGGATTATGGGCGATTCCATGATTACTAATGAGACCAACAGAAAGAGAACAAAATGTTTTATGAAAATTTTTGAAGATATGTTGTTCCTATGATAATAATTTTATGATAGTTCTCAGCAATACAATTAATTAATAATAACTATCATAAAATTATTGTTATAGGAACAACATATCTTCAAAAATATTCATAAAACATTTTGTGTTGTTTTTTTTGTCCCGTTAGTAATCATGGAATTGCCCTTATACACAAGTTTGGGTTTCCCGACAGGAACTGTAATAAAATACTTCTGTTACTTAAAGTCACTGTACATGGAGCCTACACAAGGAGCACAAACTATGTTTACAAATGCTTTCCTAAAATAAGAGTTCTCTTTGTTGCTTATACCAATTGGTTTGTACCATTACAGTGGAGGGGTATAAGCGGACGTCAGTACAAAATGGAAATCAGCGCCGCCAGTGGTGGAAAAAGAAAACGAAATGTGTGCGTTTTAATCAAGGAGCCTACACAAGGAGTCCGAACTGCATATAAACAAGAATCTTCCTAAGGAAAGTAGGCGCTGGTGTTCCGTTTATTCTGAAACAATTGACTAATTTGTACCGAAACGCCACCAAAAGAGCAGACGTCAGGACGCATCAACAATCAGCGCCGCTGGTGGTGAAAAAAAAAGACTTAATTTGTGCAATTTAGAGGGCAGGTTTTATCAATTTTCCCTATTATGTTCGGGCTCCTTGTGTTCGCACTCTTCGTAGGCTCCATGTTGCTGTAGATGCGTTTTATGATTTGTTTACATAACAACCGTTTCTTAAATCGGCTTAAAAAATAAACCGCGTTGCGGTTTTTTTTAAACTTAAATACTTAATAACTCGAAAAAAACTTGTCAAAAAATGTTTTGTAATTTTTTTTATGCCTAAAATAACGTTGTATATCGTTGACCCGCCATTTTTCACCCTTTATAAATTTTATGCAATATTTTCCTTAGGCTAAAACTATATTGCAGTTTAATATTGTTTTTGGTACTTACAATAAAATCAAAATTCGTCTCAAAATGGTATATTTCAATATGCCCTAATTCTGTTCCTCAAATCATAGCAACATTATTTAATTGTATAATTCGTTAAAGTATTAAAGTCTTTTAGGTCGCTATAATTTTTACTTCTAACATATCCCCATAGCTTCATTGCTTCATAACAGTTTTCTTCAATGTACTGAATCTCTGTGGCATTTAAATCCATTTTCCAGTGAAAAGGTGCACTTTTGGAATCTCTAAAAGTGCTTGAAACACCACCATAGTTCATTCTAGTATGCGAATCCAAAAACATTTTTACGTTTTCATGGAACTGTAATCCAAAAAACTTAAAAAGGCTTTTGACGTATTCAAATGGGTTTAAAGAAAGATCTTCATATCGAATGGCCCTGAAAAAATAAATACGAATATATCATAATTGTTTGTTAAATATTCATTAAAATTTTATTATTTTTGTTGTATTAAAATCCAATAAAAATTGCCTCTCAATAGAATAACACAACAATTTTCAATAATAAAATTTTATTTTAGGAATCACTCACAAATAATCTAACATGGATGAAGTACAATGGCGATTGAGTGCGCTACATTTAAAGCAAGTATAGACATAAAGTTATGTTATTGATATATATTGAATTGTACCTAATTAATTTAATATAACGAATTTAATTTATCCTTTATGTTTTATTTATTTTCTCATAGTCAACTTGTCCGAAAAAAGGTTTGGAAAAAATTGTAAACAAAAAGTGAAGGGGGTACCTTTAAAATGTATGTTATAGGGTCGATGCTCTAGCGAAAAATTTTCTAGCGTTCTAGGATGAAAAATTTAAAAAGTAGGTAGCGCTAAAGTACCCATTTTTGACCCAAAAATTTTTTTAAGGCAGTACTATTAAAAAAATTGGTTACCTTTGTCGAAAAAACCTACAAAATTCATATCAACTTTTTTTCCTCTGATAAACCGTTTTTATAAGGTTTTTGGTGAAATTTCAAAAAGTTCTTGTATTTCATTTTTATCAAAACCACATACCACCTGTGATCAAAACGGTGTTTTAGAAAAAAATTGTAAACAAAAAATGTAGGGGGCACTGTATTCTACAATTTATGTCGTTGGGTCTTTTAACATAAATTTAAAAACTAGGTGGCGATTGAGTACCTAAAAAAGCATCCTATTGCTTTTTGACCCCCATTTTTTTAACGTAGAACTAATTATAAAAGTATATTGAAAAAAACCTACAAAATTTATATCAACTTTTTTTCCTATGATAAAACTCAAAAAGTTTTTGGATTTCATTTTTATCAAACACGGATTTAGAAAAAAAATTGTGAAAAAAAAGTTCCCTACAATTTAGGTCATTGGAGAGAAAAATTTTAATAATAGTGGGGCTAAAGTACCCAAAATAACTTTTTTCCTACGATAGACCGTTTAGGAGTTATATTGTGTGATATTTCGAGTACTTTAAAGAAGTTTCTCAATAAAAAATAAAAAAAAATATGGTACTTTATCGCCACCTAATTTTTTAATTTTTCGTCCTAGGGCATCTACCCAATTACATAAATTGCAGTGGACAATGCCCCCACATTTTTAGTTTTTAAAATTGTTTTCTAAAACTTACCGTTTTCAAGAGCAAGAGATTTTTAATTGCTATTTTTAGGATTTTAGGACAAATCTTAGTATAATTTAAGGACATTTCAGACATATTTAAAAACTTGCAAACGATTTATTAGAAAAAAATAAATTATTCATTGGATATCAAAAACAATAAAAATATCTACTTTTATCCTAAGGTACCTATAAACCTATATACGAGGTGTGTTCAGAAAATAACGGGAATTTTCGTTCTTTGAAAAAAGTATTTATTTATTCGTCTACATTAAAGTTGTCGCCTTCAAAATAGTCCCCATTAGATATTATGCACTTATGCCAGCGCTTCTTCTAATCATCTAAACTCTTCTCAAACACGATCTTTGGGATAGCGATGCGCTTTTAATGTCATTTATGCTTGCAAAACGACGGCCCTTTAAGGTTCTCTTTATTTTGGGGAATAGGAAAAAGTCAGACGGAGCCATGTCTGGCGAATATGTAGGCTGGTGCATCATTACAGAAACTTCTAGTCGGTGACCCAACATCGATCCCGACTTCTCACGTGCTGGCACAAAACATTACAGTATTGTTTTTGGCAAAAAATTGTGTTTAAAATTCAACAATTTTGGAACAAATTTTGCTGCCACGCGTTTCATACCCAAAACATTCGAAACAATTTCATCGATATGCCAACATCATCAGCGACTTCTCTAATTGTGATTCGGTGATCGTTCATAACAATTTCTTCCACTTTTTCCATGTTTTTATCGGTTGTTAATGTGCTTGGGCGTCTAGGGCGTTCGTCATCTTCAACGTCTTTACGGCCATCTTGGAAACTCATATATCACTTAAGTCTTGTTTTACTCATAGCAGACTCACCATAGGCCTTTCTTAACATTTCAAATTCTTTGATCCATTTCTTTTAACGAACGAAAATCGCCGAGCTCATAAAAACACGTCTAACCTTAGCGGCTTCCACAGACAAAGCATAGAAAAAGGAGACAAAGTAAACAATGAAAACGTTTAAAATTTTTATCATTCTTCAGGAGTATGTATACCAACATAATAAAGACAATTTTATGAGAACCGGACTCTCCAAACCCGCGAAATTTAAAAATTCCCGTTATTTTTTTAACACATCTCGTAAGTACCTATAGGTATAAATGTATGTATGTATACTAAAATAAAAATAAACAATTTTTTATTCAATATTGATAAAAGAAAACTAAAATATTTTCATGTCTTCTAGGGTAGTTTTGTATCACTGTTTTGGACTTAAAACGTTTTTTAAAGCTTTAATCCTGTTCCCTTTCTTTAGCGCTTAGTTCTAGTAAAGACACTATGTAGATCCGATTTATTATTTGTGTTCTTTAAGTATTCAATAGTTTTTCGATATTTAAACTTCAAATTTCAAATAGTACGAACAAAGTAACATCCTTTTAGTTTAAAAAAGTAACCAATAGTATCCTAATAACTAATAACTTTTAAGGAAAAAAACTTTAATAATATTAAAAATATTTTAAACATAACAAAACTCTCATCACAGATCAAATTATTGTTGTTATTATAAGGCATTGTCCATAAATGATGATGGGAGGAAGAGGTTAACAAATTTGTGACACTCTGTGACCAAGTCACAGATGACGATGCCAAAACTGTAATAAGCATAAACAGTTTGCGCTTGCTGGATTGCCAAATCGGATTCATATCAGTTGCATCGCTAATAATTCGTTATTAATCACAAAATTTTATAAGTTTATTATATTTACATACGAGTGAATATGCTTAATACAGGGATAAAATAAAAGAAAGGAATAGGACTTTAGTAACTTTTTTCAACAGAAAGTAACCGATAGTAACCGCACCAACCAAAAACTATACTATACTAGTGACCTAGCGGGAGGCCTGAAATTGTTAATTTTGTTTTGATAGGAGTCAACCATAGAGTGGGCAACCTAGATCACAAACGGATGTTTTGGTTTTCTTGTCATGACGAAATCATGTGACAGGTGGTTTATGGGGCATTTTTAAATATTAACAAAACAGAAAATGACAAACTTTTGGACATTTCAGGGCAAGACCAATTTAATAGGACATTTAGGACAAAACGCTTAATTATAGGACGACTTAGGACATTTGAGAGCCCTCTAAACAAAAAAAAATCCGTAAATTTCTCGAAAAAATTTACTTGTATTTTACATGGAAAAAACTTCTTGGTAGTCAGCTAAATTTTTGGTATTTTTATTTTGTTCCAAAATAACTTTTGAGGCACTACATTGGCTTGAATTTAGTAATTTATGTTAAAAAAAAATGTACACCAAATTGTAAAAGCAAAGATACAATACAATACATAATTGTATAATGGGTAAATACACACCGAAACCGTTGGGGATATTTCCTTTTTAGTATTATGGCAGCACTGTAATCAGAAATCATGTCAGCACAGAGGTTGTTGGGTTGATCACAGTCAGGTTCGCCCGGACACCAATTTCTATGTTTTCGGGATTGCATGGTCCCACGAGGATCACGCACCAACAAAACCACTTTAACATTTAGACTGCAACAAAAAAATATTTAAAGAATAAATATAAAATTATAGTCTGGTACATTGGTAGAAACTAAAGTAATAAGGTTAACTATTCAGAAATTGTCAACTTTTTACACGAATTAAATGAGTGCGTATAAAAGTTTATAAACGAGTTGCATTATGCAACTTGCATACTATACTTTTTCTACGACAAATACTTGATATTATCTAAAAAATTAAAAATAAATATTTGTATAAAGCGACATCTGTACGAAAATAAAGTAACCATCCCAATAAATATTTTTGACGTAATTTTGCACCATTAACATTGCCCGTTATTATATTTTAATTAAACTTTACAATTATTGATACTTTAAAATATTAAAATAACTTCAAAATTATGTAATTATGTTAAGAAATTTTTTTATCCTTTGAATTTTTTTTATTACTATAATTGCAAAATATTAACACATAGTATTAAACATTCTTAAGTGACAGTTGTATTTATTGAAATTCCCTTGGAAATCTAGCTACCGGCGTTAAAATCTCAACTTTTTATGTGTAAATCAAAATTTATCCCTTGAAAATAGACTAACAATCAATATAGAAGCAGTTTTTCACAGTAAAAGAGAAGAGAATGTTTTATGGGAAATGTACGCTTTATTTTTAACGCTTTATCAGTTAAATCTAATTAACTGCAGTACTAAGGCGAAATCAAAAGGTCAGTACAAACGTTCATATAATCTTTTCAAATATTGACGTCAAGAAACTATTTAATACTTTCATATTTTTGTATTGAGATAATAAAATAATTTTCATATTTAGTATTATTTTACAAGAAAGGCACTTTATTTTAACGATTGTATGACATTTGACAACTGTCAACTAACTAAAAACTAACTTCAGCCTGTGACTAAAAACCTGTTGCCAACTTTAGCCCGTGACTAAAGCGCCATAAAGCCACAACTTAGTGGGCGTTTTGTATACATTTTCAGTGGCTGCTCGTGGTTAGTAAAAGTAAGAAGGCTAATAAAGACAAGTGACATTTTTTTAGACACATTAACACACATGGGTCTACGGATGGAGGTCACAATAGCAAAAAATCTTTAATATTTATTTTAAGACAAGAAATCATTGTTAATAAAATTTCTGCTTGTTAAGAAAATTAATTTACAATATAAAAATTTAAGATCAGATGTACAGGGTGTAAATAAATTAGGAAAACATTAAAATGCTTCAAATAAGTACCATTATTTCCCAGGTAGCACACTGACGTCTGCTGACGTTTATATGACGTTGCTTACGTCATTTAAACGTTAGAAGACGTCATATAAACGTCAGCAAACGTCAGTGTGCTATCTGGGTTATTACTTCGAACAAAAATGTTATGGAAGAAAGTTATTTATAAACTAACACCAAGTCTAAATACAAATTTTTAAATGATAATTTCAATATTTAAAGTTATTCAATATAACTACCTCCCCCTCGACACATTATCCGCTAACTTAATAAAGGTACACTTTAAGAAAAATTCGCGGTTCATTTAGTTCATCTATTGCTTCCTGCATGCGTCTTTTTCTTTTCATGTGGCATCTGTCACCTGTCATTTGTCCCCTGCAATTTACAGTATTAATATTGCAATATATTCAATATTGTATTAAATACATAAATATTTTTATCTACACAACAGTGGCTTTTCGACATTTTACGTCACGGGCTAAAGTTAGCTTTAGTATAAATTGGGAAAAAGTGAGGTTAAATTCGGGTGACAGTTGACAGATGTCAAAATTTTAACAAATAAAATTGGCTTTAAATTCTGTTTTGTGTTCGTCGTATACGATCTATAGATAAAGTATAGTATGCAACTTGTTTATAAACTTCTCTAGACACTCGTTTTTATCAAACACTCGCTCGCAAGCTTCGCTCGTGCTTAATTAAACTCGTAACTAAAATGGCGTATATAAAACTTGATACATAATATACTATTTTTTGCTAAACATTTTTTAAAATGCTTTCACGAAATCAAAAAACTAATGTAAATTAGTTAGATGTTGACGTGACAGACGTTTACAAAATGAATAATTTTAAATATTGGAATTTTCATTTGAAAATTTCTATACAGACTTTGTGTTAGTTTATAAACAACTTGCATAAAATGTTAGTTAACAGTAATAAATAATGGTAGGTACTTCTTTCTTGATGCATTTTAATGTTTTAATGTTTTTTTCCTGATTTCAATTTTTTATACATTATTGTAAATTAATTTTCTTAACAAACAGAAGTTTTTATAAAGGATTATTTATTGTAGTAAGATTTTTGTACTATTGTGTGAGTATCCGTGGACACACTGTATATCTGTAGACCATAAAAAATTAATACAACTTATTATTACATTTAATTGTACTGTTTATATTTATTTATACATAATTTATATGTATGTATACATACATATGTATATGTATAAAATGAGAAATAATAAATACCTACATTTCAAAACACATTACAAATGCAAATAACGAAAACAACGCTATACAAGCTTCGGACTGCCTGGGGAAGTCGGGCTTACCATAATGTTCTAAATAGTCGCTAAAAGCTGTACATTTAAACGTATTATAACAATAACAAAAGAATCGGGACAAATATCTTCAGAAATTCACTATGTAAGTAAGTTTTGTGCCTTATTTTTAGTACAATAGGTGGCAGGCGCGTGCTGGCCCACCTGGCGACCGGAACTTTCCCGGTGGGCCCTCATAAAATGTCCATAAGGGGCCCCACGACTCCAACGCGTGATAAATTTAAGTAAGCTGATATTAGCAGGGACTTATAACAAAACCTCGTATAAAAATGAAACTCTGTTTCTGGCGTTATGGTTCCGAGTAACATAAAAAAATAAAACATAATCAGAAACGGAACATTGGAAATTGTTCCCAACAATTAACAGAAGTATAACGAAACTTAAGGTAACAAAACTAGCAAAATTCTAAGCAGAACCGAAACACCGGGTATGGAAACTAAACCAGCAACGCCACCTAGGTGAGTTACGAAATCGTTACAAAGCCTCTTGGTACAGAAGCTAAACTAGTAACGTTTTCCGTGTTTTGAAGAAAACTATTAAGTACCTAGTAATTTTTTCTGTTAATAAATAAATGAAGCAGCTTATGAGAGGTAAACCACTTTAAAATCAGCGAGACCAACGTTTAACGTTGTTTCCTTATCAGTCGTTATCAATAAGGAAAAATCCTTAGTCACACGTTGCGCATGACTACCCTTGGGATTTTTATCCTTGGCCGTTAATTTGTAGGCGATTTTTAATTTTTAAAAATTAGTGGTTTACCCCTTGGCAGCGTACTTATAAAATACCTTTATAATTTTGTATTTTGGTACTATTAAGTATTATTTCTGAAAGTTTCGTTATAATTTTAGGAGAAGCATGTTTGGATTCAATTGACGCGTTTCTCGGAAAAACATCATTAGTCCAAAATTAACATATTTGGGAAAATGAAAAAAACTCTCCGACATTCCCATTTTTGACCAAAGTACTTTATTGACCTATTTACTACATGTAAAAAATTTAAGATACTTTGTCCAGAATTCCTCATGTTTGTATTTTCAAACAAATATGAAAAAAACACAAAAAATACATGAACATGTGAGGTTTTTAGAAGAAAAAAAACAATTCTCCTTACTACAAACACTACAAATTAAATACTAACTCTGAGTAACAAAATAAATGAAAAAACTAAAAACTGTATTACTGCCACACTCAGTCTTCGCATCCACTGCTGTTATAATCGTTGTCGACCGTGTTATCAGGACTGTCAGGTGCTATGGTCTTCTGCTCTTTTATCAAGTTATCATAAAATTTTCTATTGCTGTGGTAATGTAAAAGAGGTAGAAGCTTTTCTAGAGTGTCCAAAAACGTCACATGTTGTTTACATGTGACTTTCTTAGACGAAACGGAGTGGACTTGTGATGTTTTTAGAAGAACAAGCTAAATTTCATATTTAATTATTATGGAACCTATGACATTTTTACGAGAAACACTTATTTGTATGTATACGTATACGTATATATGGAGGTTAGGAAACAGTTGGTGCTAATATCTAAATTTCGACGATATTGGACTAATGATGTTTTTCCGAGAAACGCCTCAATTTAGTTTAGATCCTTACATGAAGAAATGCGTTACAAATCCCTGGTTATTAGTGAGTAGTAACGGCCCCAGCACGCGACGTAACATTTCAAACACAACACCCCCCCCAGTTCCCCAACCCTTTCTCTAAATGACATAAAATTTAAGGCTGGGGAGGGCCCTGTAAGGAAATTATTTACCGGGCCCTAAAATCATCCCAGCACGCGCCTGATAGGTGGCTATGACATGTTTGAAAATTGTATTGTAATAATTATTACAATTAATTAATGTTTAATTATTTCTCAAATGGTTTCTAGATAATTGCCTATCCTTAAATAACTCTAAAGCACAAAGTAATACTTGATACTTTGAAAGTATCAACTTTACTCTCAGGAAGAACAGTAATGTTAAACACCAATTTCTACCTCAATGTGCAATAGAATCCAAGTTTCTTGGAGTTCACTTAGATGCAGGGAGCAACACCTTGCCAATCTTTCAAAAAAACTATTCCGTCAACTTTTCCTATTTAGGAATCTTGTACAGGTTACTTCCAAAGAAACTCTCCTAACAGCATACCATAGCAACTTCTTTCCTGGGGTCACTCTTGTCACATTAACAAGGCATTTAAGCAGCAAAGAAAATGCATACGCATTATCTCTGGGATTGGCTTTACCTTGTGCTTACATTATGAAGTGTTTGTTGCACGTTAAACAAAATCTTGATCAAAACAGATCTCAGATCTCTGGAGGTACTCACAACTATCCTACTAGAAACAAAAACAATCTTGTTCCAGACTTCTGCCGACTTGAGAGATCCAGAAATGGTTCAAGATATTTGGGAATAAAATTATATAACTATGTACCAGCTAGAATTAAATATCTAAACTTCAATCACTACA